GAAGAACTGCATGAGGATCATCAAGATTACCCTTTAGCTCCTACTAAAGAAAGTGTACCCCAGGATTGGTTGAGTCCCTACCAAACAAATTTACTCGAGCAGATGAAAAATCAAGACATTGCAAGACGTTCAATTGGAAAGACCAAAAAGTTACTGCAGACGCTGCATGACAAGTCAAATTATACAATTCATTACAAACTATTGCAATTGTTTGTTAGGTTGGGACTTAAAGTTAAAAAAGTGCACCGTGTGCTGAAGTTTGAACAAGAAGCATGGTTAGAACCATACATCACATTGAACACGACTAAACGACAACAAGCTAGAAATAAATTTGAGGAGGATTTGTACAAACTACTGAACAATTGTGCTTATGGGAAAACATGCGAGTCGAAGCGCAAACGGATGCTTGTTCGGATAGTTAGAGATTATCGTGCCGCTTTGCGAGAAATTAGTGCATTCGAATTTAAATCCTACAAAATTTTTGGAGAAAACTTGGCAGCGTTCACTTCGAATCCAACAAAAAATCTATTGGGATGTCCCAACAATTGTGGGAGCTAGTGTTCTTGAGTTAGCAAAGTTTCACATGTATAAATTTCATTACGATATAATGAAACCAAATTTTGAATGTCAACTATTGTATTCTGATACAGACAGTCTCCTGTACCAAGTCAAAAGTGAAGATTTATACCGAGAAATTTCCGAAAAAAGGAATATTTTGAATGAACTTGACTTGTCAAATTACCCGAAGAACCACCCTCTCTACGACCCGAAAAACAAAATGGTTGTTTTAAAATTCAAGGATGAGTTTCCAGGAGACATTATAACCGAGTTTATATCCCTCAAACCCAAGCTTTATTCCATTTTGTCCAGAGGTAATTAATTTCTATTTGCCTTTTTGTGAGCACGAATTTCAAAAAATTTTGATTTTTTGTGATTTTTTTTCGGAAGGGTATTTTTATTTGTGGGCGAAAAAATGTAATTTTATCAAAAAAAAAAGAAATTTGGAAAAAACTTTTTAGGCGAAAAAGTATAATTTTTTTTGAAATTTTTTTTTTGTGGGCGGTTTTTTTTTGTGGGCGAATTTTTTTTTTTTTTTTTTTGGAAAAAAAAATTTTTTTTGTTCGAAAAAAAATTTCGGGCGAAAAAGTGTATTTTGTTTTGAAAAAAAATTGGAAAAAACTTTTTAGGCGAAAAAAAATAATTTTTTTGAAAATTTTTGGTTTTTTTTTTGTGGGCGATTTTTTTTTTTTTTTTTGTGGGCGAAAAATTTTTTTAAAAAAAATTTTTTTGTCGGCAAAAAATTTTTTTTAAAAAATTTTTTTGTCGGGGATTTTTTTTTTGTTGGTTGATTGTTGTTTTTTTTTTTTAATGATGACTAATTTTTAAGGTCACACCTGGCCTTCATGTATTTTTTTTTATTGCACCTGGCCTTCAAGTTAACATGATGTAGCTCTTAAAAAAAAACATCGTATTTGGTTTTTTTACCACCACACATTAGTGATCATCAAAAAATTGATTAGTAATCATATAAAAAAAATTTTAGACTGCAGAAAATTATCGGCGAAAGGTGTATCCAAAGCTGCTCAGAAGATGTTGAGTCATCAGCGATATCGAGACACCTTGACCTCTGGCTCGTTATTCAAAACTGAAAACAGTCGAATCGCATCCGAGTCACACAATCTGCAAACAGTGACTTCGACGAAAACATCGTTATCAGCTTTTGATGACAAACGCTACATCCTCGATGATGGTCAGCAGACTCTTCCCTACGGTCACAAAAACATCGTGGGTCAAACTGTGATTGGCATTGATGATAGTGATGACAACACAGCCGCTGTTAATTCTGACCCAACTGACGATGACGATTTGGAAAAATGGATGCCATTTTTTGAAGATCGTCAACAACCAGTGTCGTGGGATTGTGACGATTTCCTAGATGGGGTGTCTGAAGAATTCGCTAACACTCAAAACGTTGATTGGGACCATCCGGAAATTGATGATGAATACTCTGAGGATAGTTTTGCTGTTGAGAACACACAACCACATCGCTCGCTTCGACAACTGATGGACCAGGTCAATAGCAGTTGGCAAACTCCAGACCCCGGTCTGATTCGGGCAGCAGAAACCAACGACAGTGATATTGATAGCGGGGATATCGCGGATCTGGAGGCCAATACTTCCGATGAGGACGAGTCGTCATTCTTCAACGATTCGTTTTTCGATTATGAAGCAGTTGAAGTAGAAGAACCACGGTCAAAAAATCGACGAATAGATTAAAACACAAAAAAACACCACATTAACTTTTGTATAGTAAATAAAATTCAGTTATTTAATATGAGAATTGTCTGTACATAAAATTTGACCTACCGCTATTCCGTGTTTAGTGTGTATTTAAGTGCGAGATTTTGTTCAGCTTTGGAACTCAATTAATCTGGGATATAAACAATTTCATTTAAGCGATAGTGTCTTTAGCATACTTTTGTATGTATTTGTATGTAATTTGAGTTTGAATCAAAGTTTTAAGAAGAATTGAGCAAACAGTCTATAGCGCAGTTAAACACTCCAGCTGGTTTCAGAACGAAGATTTGGCAAATCCTTTCCCGCACCAAACATGTAACCACAACGTTCAGTGGGAATACTCAATAATATACCGAAGTTTTACATGAGGACTATTAGGTATAAAATTATACATGGTGACAATTAGGATTATTACATAGTGACCATTAGGTATAAAATTATACATGGTGACAATTAGGATTATTACATGGTGACCATTGCTGATCATTTAATACATGGTGACCATTATGATTTATACCTAATGGTCATCCATGTATGACAACCCCCCCCCCCCCCCCCCGATCCTAGTGCACTATATGCATACTACTCAGTATTTTTGTCTGAAGATGTTTTTTTGAGACATTGACAGTCTACATGAAAAAATTTTAAATTAATGGAAAAATTAGGCATTTTTTGAAGAATAAATTTTTGTTTTAAAACATTAAACCTTTTTTTCAACATCACTGGACCATAAAATTAAACATTGGATTATATGAATTAATTTTAACTAAAACAAAATTTAAAAGAAAAGTATTTTCAAGCAATAAGTTCTGACCCTCTTTAAGTTTCATCTTGCTTCGAGAAAAAGTATTCTATTAGTCATTGTGACCAATATGATTCGACAGCAGTGACGTGAGAGTAGTTAAAACCACTGAGCTTCCAATAAACTAAATAAAATTACGTCACTTCGACGCATCTGTTTTCAGAGACAAAGACACTTAAATTGACCTATCAACGGCTTACAGCATTTGAACAACAAAAAATTCACTTGAAAAATAATACGAACTTGTATAATTGTATCATTGCGAGTAACAAGGTTGAAAATAGCGCTGTTGATTTCTGTGCTGTCTAAATTGCATCTTAAGGCTCGCAGTTTTGCAACTAACATCGGACTGAGTGACACCATGAGAACTATTCAATAAATGACCCAAAAACTATTTCCTATGGTATGGAATACATGTTTTACTAGTTAAGTCCGAATTATCTCGATAGATTTCAATATCTTGGACAATTTTCAAGTAAAAATTGGGTGTGTATTTCAACAGCCCATTTATTTTTTAAAATATGTGTTTTTATCAAATTTCCCATCAAGCGCTATTAATTTCATCAGTTCTGGAATTGTTTCAGGGTGCATTTTTGAACGATAACAATTCAGAAATAGGAGGACATTAGATTCGAACAGTTCCATATAATTTTCTACCAGATTTGTTAACTCATCAAAAATCTCCATCGCAGATTTGATATGTTTGACGACATTATTTGCACCATCTTGCAAAATTATATTTTCCCGTTTTTTTTTGAGCTGCATTGAGTCACAACATTAGGTTTTTATTTGACCGTAGCTTTCCGGTATCCATGAACTGCGCAGTCCTGAGCAATATTTTTTAGATCTTAAGACCAGATTACACTGGTCATCACTAAACGGGATTGGGCGAAATCCCTTATCTTCTTAGCAAACAAACCCTGTTGAGATGACGACGACGACGCTCCGCGATTCACTCCAAATCCAGCTTCATGTCATTCCAAGTGCTGCTGATACTTAGTATTAACCTTTCCAATAATGCATTTTTTGATTTGTTTATAGAAATCAAGGTATTTTTTCTAAGATGGTTCTTTTTGGCGTGGTCACTAATCATAGTAAAACATAACAAGGCAGTCAGAATAGAGGGAGTTGTAAAAGAGGGATTGTTAGAATTATCAGCAGACATTATTTTACATAAGTTATCTTTTCTAATTTTGACTAGGTTTATACTAAGTTTGAAAAAAGTTTTTGTTAGTAAGCGTCGCAAAATCGGTCAAAGAAAACTCAGTGTTTCAAAACGTTTTAAAAAACTTTCAAAAAGTCAATTTTTCAAAAAAGTCATAGCAAATTAACTAAATTGAATGAGAATTAAATCTGTCCGAAACAAAGTCGAGATTAATTAATCCCTTTAACTACATCCAAAAGGGAAAGATTAGTTACTAGATATAAAACTCTCACTTGCTTAACCGTTGATTTATTTTTTATAGGGTAGTATTCGTTTCTAGGTACTAAGGGAGGATATAGTTAAAGAGATCGGACGCGCTTAGGCATGTAAGAATTATTGACATGGGATGATTTATATCTTTGAAGTTGTAAACCTTGATTAACTTTTGTAATGCCTTCCGGAACAAAAAACTTTAATCTGTGTTCATCAAATTTTGAAAATTAGAAGTCAATGTTCGAATTTTTTCCAGTTTCCAACTCCTCTCCAAAACTGGTCTGCACATAATAACATGTCAATTTGTTACTATCATTATGTTCTTTTGTTCAAACTGACATGTTTTTTAGAAGGGTTATCGCTCCAAAAATTCAAGAATTTTAAGTTACCTGAATTGAAAAAGAAGTTAGGGTGGGATGGAAACTCGAAGTTAGCCCTCCACCCAAATCCTAATAAGAATGGATAGGCAGATAGGTCACTTGCTTGAATACTTCCGTATTGGAATGGGTAAGTGAAGTTGTCCATATGTGCGCACTGGTCCGACCCCTTGTTCATGAACAGATCCAGATGTCTGGGTCCAAACGGCAGAACAAACGGCTCTTCCAGCTCAGCGATTACACCCTGCATAGATGATAAATAAACAATACAATTACAAACATTATTATTTACAAATGTTATATACGCTTGTATTATGGTCTCTTTGAAGCAGAAGGGATGTATTATTAGTTGTAATGATTTTATAACAGAGCGGTATCCTAAATTTATACGAAAAAGGAACCAGAATTGTTTAATTGAAAAATATCATATCTGAAGTATCTTAGAACACTAAAGAGTCTAATCGGCGAGAAAAAGCCCTGCTTTTTAGTTTTCCGGCATAATTTAGCACACACTAGTGTTGAAGGCTCTTTCAGAAAAAATAAGATAGTTAGTTTTCCGGCATAATTTAGGATACACTAGTGCTGAAGGCTCTATTAGAAAATTAATAAAATCAATATACGGACGAAACAAGTAAAAACTGGATTTTAGTTAAAACAGTAAAAAACCACCAGCGGATTTAAGGGGGAGGGGGCGGACGACCTCCCCCCTCAGGGATTCGAACCCCTGTCGGCCCAAAATTTCCCCACGTTGTACTATTTTGAGAAATCCATTTTCGGTTGACTGACCCTGAAAGTTTTCTAAAGGCGATGTGGGTGACAAAATATTATAATTTTGAGGGGGGAGCTGCAATTTTTGGTCTAAGTTTTCCAAAAAGAACCTAAGAAAGTATTTTTTGTTATTTTTTCAAAAATTCGCCTGCGGCCCAGAACATTTGGTCAAAATAGGGTCTTACAGTGATTTGGTACAGCTCAGAAAATCTAATTGGTCGACCTAAAAAAAAGGTCGACTAAATTTTCGAATTTTTTTGAAAATTCGCCACCCCCTCGAGAAAATCTTAGATCCGCTCCTGGTAAAAACTAAGGGATGATTTTTTTGCTGGCGAAAAGATCGAATTGCTAAAATGTGGCTAAATTCTCTACTGGTTTATTTTCTATCACTCACAGGCTGCTGGGCTTCGATGAGTTCGACCGCGAGACACATTAAGCACAGCGAGATCAAAAAAGACCACAGAAATTCCATTGATATAGCTGCCACGATTATCTGGCCCAAACTAAAAAATATGAAGAAACTCAAATAAAAATAAGCCAAAAAGATGACCAGGTAGTTTAATTTTTACAGTTTCTGAAGGCAGTAATTAAATTCACTTACTCTCTTGCTAACGATATCTTGTTACCAAATTCGCTTTTATTGAATTTTCTATTTTTTTAAATTTTTTCTTTTTAGATGTTTGCTCGCGTGATGTTTGGATGTTTATTCTTCTGATAAGAGATAAGTTTTAATTGGTACTCAAAATTAGCAAACTACTTACGCAATTTTTCGATCCACCGATCAATTTAGCGTCAAAGTTTATCAGTCTTATCATTTTTTCTTAAAATACTTTTCATCTTTAATTGGTTTCTTTGTTAATCAGATTTTTAACATCTTTGTGTAGCTTACCTTTTATCAATATCAATTTTTTCCTTGCCAACTACATGGTTTTGGAGTGGATTGGTAAGGGGAAAAGTTTTGCAAAATTATCGTAAAGTTTTTTGGTTGGGGCGCTCTTACATTCACAGAAAATTGCTTACAGCCACGGAAAATCAGCACCTTCACATCCCCCTTTATTCTCTATTTTTATGCGATCAGCTGTTGCAAAGTGTTCACTTTCTAAAAGTTCGTGAACATAATTTTGTCAAATCTCTAATGCATAACCCTCTTTTCATTTTCAAGCTACCACCCTCAATCAGAACATAATTGCCAACAGACAGTTGGGAAAGTGTCAATGATTAAAGTAAAAAACAAATGACTTGTTTTTCGGAAAAATACTTCAAGCTTCAAATTTCAAAAAAGGAAAGATTGCGTTAAAGTTCTTTGAATTTCAAGAAAAATTGGTGTTTTTTTCATAAAATTGATCTAACTCATTCACATTTCATTCAAAAACATTCACATTTTCCATTTTTTTAAAATTGGATAGCGTTTTTTCCCTTTTTAGGCAATGAATTTGAACTTAATTTCAAAAATCAAACTTCAAGCCTCCAATTGTCAAAACTGAGGTTACAGTGTATTTCTTCTTCAGGCCTTGTACACTGTACAAAGTTTGATAAAAAAGTGTTGCCACGTAAGTAAGCAATAATACTAACCCAATTCTGATGAACTAACTATAGGATACGGCAGGGCGAGCGGTCCATAACAATTTCTAGAAATTGTCTGAAAGCTAATTGTGTTGTTTTACAGTGTATCATAAAATATTTGAAGGCTGTGAATACGCCGTAATTAAAAGGTAACGATGTTTGATTTTGTTGCTGCGACCCGGAGTTAGGCCAGGGACCTGTAGATTGAGTGAGACTAAATCAGTTTTGCAAGGTGAAGAACCACTCGGTCTCCACTTGATTCAAATGTAGCAACGAGGATGTAACAAAAACAGGTCAAGTCATAATAAAAAAGGAGTCAAATTGAACATACAAAGCCGTTGGCGCCAGAACATCAGCCAACAAGCGAGTCCGTAGCAATCTTGGAGGCGCTTATGATCAAGATGGTGTCCGTTATTCAGCAGTAAATCGCGGGAAAATGATAGCGGCAAGCTGCTAAACAATTGTTTTTCCTCCTTTGATCAAACTGAGTCAATAGATAAGCGCTGAACTAAATAAAAATGTCTGCGCGTCCATTATCAGAATTAATTATCTGAGGATCTTGAAAAAATACATCATGAAGCCAAATTTTAAGATGATATCAAGTGGTACTTGCATCACCATACTGTCTTTACCCCTAACAGTTCAAAAGTCCACGAATTTTTAAGCAAAATTTTCAAATCTCATGAGTTTTATCGCAGAAAAACGCTACTGGCCTGCCCAATTTTGCTGTACGTGTTACTTTATGTCCTGCGCCAATTTCAATCTACCAAAAAATGATGAATCGGTCGAGAATGAGGGCACGCTTCTCCTTGTAAATCTCGAAAACCAATCGTGCTTGCGTTTTTTGGCATGAGGCACCATTATCAGAAGCGATATTATGAAAAAAAAATCCAACATTTTTTGGAGTACGTGACTCAGCAACGAGTACGTGGCACTACGCACTTGAGCCGACGCCTAGGGATAGTGGGGCCGGCTAGCCTAAAGTCGCATCAGCTGTTTGTGAAAAAAATCACGGTTTACTTTTTGGTCTCTAAGCCGAACGCTGAACAAGTCGCTAAAGAGGTTAATTGAGACACTTAGTACAGAACTCATAAAGTTAACTATGTTCAGCAGTAACTTTTCGAAATCTCAGAAAATTGAATCCAAATAAGAAAGAAAACCGAAAATGTAAAAGGGAAAGTGTAAGTCCCTAAAACTTGTCGCATGTCTTCGGCCTAAAATGTGTCCCTATGAAAAACAGTCTGGTAGTTAGTTGATAAGTGAGTCGCGAGTTTAAGAAAGAAATCACAAAATGAACTGCTCTTAGTTTCGTGTCATCCGCGTTTGAACCCTTTGGTTTGGTTGCACACTATGCAGTACGCTCCCGTCAACTGTTGAAAATAAATTGTTCTACATGTCAAAATGGGACGATCTAACAACAGAACAACTAATATACAAATTTTGCAACCGCATTCAAGCTCACCATTGCTTGGAAAGGTAAAAAACTCTCGGGCTTGAATCATTGTGCTTTTAGATATGGTAAAAAAATACAAGTTTAGTGATATACACCTTGATGTCATTTGGCTTTTTGGGTTTCAGTTTTAGTATGGACAGAGCCTCCATTGGCTTTACACTGGGCTGACTTCTGTTTTGATAAAAAGGAATCTTCTAAAATACGAAACTGACTGCTTATTCATTTATTACCAAGGAGGGCCGTGAGCACACTAAAAACTGAACTGCAAGCTGCTTTTAAAAAAGTTTTTAGAGAGAGCTTTGAACATTGAGAAAATCCAGAGTATTGTATGATCCAAAAGCACAATTGTTTACAGTCGATCTAGTCTCATACTGGGAAATCTGTCTAATGTAGCCAAAAACAAGTGGAGAAACTTGAAAACCAACAACCCTTGATGAGTGGTACTGTGTAGCAGCAATTGAAAATATAGCAACCAGAGGTACACAAAAAACTGCAGCCGAAGATCTTAGAAGCTGCGAATCTAGGTACCAAAGTTCTGGTTATTTGAGACTTGTCTAGATCTTGAAAAAAAAACAGTTTAAAAAATCGATGACTGATTTAAAAATATACTTTCCAATTTTTAAGAATCAGACACCGCAGTGCACAAACCTGACTTCAACATGGAAACAATCAGCCCTTCTTTTAAACACAATTTTAATATCGAATTTGATAATTCTGACAGAAATTATAAGCAAATTATCTGAGCTTGATTTAGCAGCAGCGTCAAATCTCCTTCAGTTCTCCCATGTTAATTATTTTCAGCATATTTTTCCTCTATCAAAAACTGTGTTAAAAAAACCAAGTCTAAAGCTATATTTCCATTTAATAAGACCTAATGAGTTTTTAGGCTCAACGGGGCGCTTTCGGCGTCTCGCTGAAACGAGCCTGGAAAGAAAATGTTCTGTGATATTTGATGACCATCCTTGTCTTGTTTGAAAATTTTGTTGACGCCATCTGCAGCTCAAGCATCATCAATTGTTTTTCTATACGGGCCTATATTTTTTCTCGGCGCGCCAGCTTGAAACGGAGATCAATCCAGTGTGAAGTTTAAAACAAGTCCATTCCATGTAGATTCAAAGCCGAATTTGCTAACCACTTGATGTCATATCTCCCTCTAGAGCGTTCATAGTGCAGAAGACTTGCAATTTGTATTGCGCAATTCAATAATTTGGCCCATTTCATGTAACTGTCATCAAGAACTCGGAGAACTGTGGGATTTTCTCTTTGGTAGCATGACGACACCACCGGTATATATCAAAACCCTTTTTTAAGGATGACAATTCTTGTGTCATTGAAACATAGAGATCCATTGTCCATCTGTTATCTAGTCTGATAAACGGTACAAATTTTTCGGACGCCCAGAAGGAACTCATGGCGTGCATTGAATATTGGGATTAACAGGCTCACACCCGTTAACAATATAAAGGTATTTAAAACAAATATATTGGCCTATGGAAGCATCTGGTAAAGTTTGCAAATGCCAGTTTTATTCAAGACATTGAACGCGATTACGTAAACTAATGACAGAAGTACTTTTAACGGCAATCTGTTTGGTCTATCAGTTTTTCAATGGGTGACCACTGATTTCTGTTAACAGTCATTTGGATAGCTTGAAAGGGCATAAGTAAACGCAATTTGATAGCGATAGCACGTCGAGTTTGTGCCAGGTTTAAAACCAGGCAATTGGTGCACCATCTTCAGAACGAAAAATTAAGACAAATGATTTAGTTAGATTAGTAGAGTCCACGAATCAGCAAGCTTGTTTTAATAAAGCACACATTAGAACGCTAAATTTCTGAAACAAACGGAGTAGCCGAAACCGCCGTTGGAATTGAAAACGTTGGAATGTTATATTATCCTCCAGAGGTGAAACTCACGCAGGTTCTCGCTTTTTTTGGATTGCAGATAAGGCCGCGCAAAAAAGCGAGAAAAGAAAAGCCAGTCTAATGATTAAAATCAACACCGGTTGGCCAATCAGTTCAGAAAAAATATTTGAATATGTCTGTTAGGTTATTGCTATTTGTTTGTGTTTTACTGTGTTTGCAAACTTTTTTTTCAAAATAAACACGTTCAAGCCAAACATGTGTCATTTTTGAAATTGCTTAAACACATTGAAAAATTGATAAATTCTGTTACTCATGCCGTTTTTCACATGAATTTAATTTCTTTTATATCAATAATTTATTTTAGTTTTGAGAAGATTGCGGCCACATTTTTGACGCATCGACCCATGATTGGACTAGGGGCCCTCAGTTTTGGTGGCCGTTTACCTTCAACAGCTGGTTAGGTCTCAGTTTGTTTCAAATGTAGCTTCGAGGATATAACTCCAGCCAACCAAGTAAAGCCATAGTTTAAATAGAAATCATATCGTGCATCAAACAAAACCATTGATGCCAGATTATCAGCCGATAAGAGAGACTCCAGCTTTCTTGAAATCACAGTTAAACAGGATTGTGTCCGTCAGTCAGCGGGAAATAATTGGGCAGATGATAATTGAATCTGACAAACAGTTGACGCCGCAGCAAGCAAATCGTAAGTTTGTTGTCCAAAAGTTTGCTGTCCGCAGGTTTGATATTGTTTCCCGTGTCTAGGTGATACGATCCCATAGTCCATTTAGGTTTTACCCATTCGATACATTTTTCATACTTAACTATGGAAAACACCATTGCGCACAAGTTGCAACTCATCATTAAGACAACTTAGAAACTCACTTGACGGAACGTTAAACTCGCTCGGGTTCTCAAGTCTGTAGGGGCGGAAGTTCTTGCAGCGCAAGAATAAATGCACGACATAGACAAGTAAGACATTAGATTGGACCAAAAATGATAATAGATCAGTTACTTTTTTAAATGATTAGATTTTCAGGTTGCCATTTTGATTGCCATCTTGAATCATTTACAGTTTATGACTGTTTTTGCACCGTTTCCCACCTGAATTCAGGTCAGACTTGATTCCTTCTGTCCGTCAAAAAGAGGAGTTCGATTCAAATCGAAACGTTTCACCAGTTTGAGCCAAGTAACTTATCGTGTTCCTGTAATAAAAGGCTAAGCTACCAAGGATAGGTGGTTGCTGTGCTTCTAGCTTAGATTTTACAGACCACGCAAAATTTTTTCAGACCACGCAAGAAAATAACGAGCAAAAAAGTTTTCTTTTTTTTGAATTTTTGTTGTTTTCTTCTTTAGAGCTTTTTGTTCTTTAATTTATAATTAGCGAGAGAAGTCTGCATTGGTTATTGAAACATGAAATTCAGATGATGATGAATTAAACATTGAAAACAAATCCCTATAAATTAGATTATAAATTCAGTCAAAGAATTCTAGTTAGAAAAGTTATTAGTCTGCAAACCGAAAAACATAAGACCCGTCTTTCCTGAGGCTCAGAGCTATTTAGATTTTTTAAAAACAATTGATACCTTACGAGTTTTTGATAAGGAGGTCACAATTGCCTTTAAAAAAACTTACATCATATTTACCCCAATAAAAACAAAACAGTACCTTTTTAAAAAAAATTATTCTATAAACTAAGGACTGTAGTTCATTTTTACAAACAAGCGTCCAATTAATGGAAAAACCAGTTGAAAGTACAAAAAAAGATTTATGATTTCAGCAGTATTCCCAAAAAATATAAGACAACGTTTTTCGTATATTGTACAAAAACTTTCACACTTTTCTTTTCATGTCAATTAAAGCAAAATTATGAAAAATAAGCATTGAAACAACACTTTCCAAGGGATAAAAAAGCAGGCACTCCTGATGCAGGCACGGATGAGCCATAAAACTATGTTTCAAAAAAAATTTAAGCCCACAAAAAAGTTGTAAGCTCACCTCAAAACATTTAGATGAAATTTTAAGACCCATCAAACGACGCAATATGAGGTCAATAAGCCAATATAATACACGCCGAATTTTTTTAAACCAATTAAAGGCCGAACAAAAAATGATAAAAACTAATATACTGAATATACTGAAACCCGAGATGATAAATTTACAACCAACACGTTGCGTTTTGAAAAAGTTTTTGTTACATGACTGTTGGATGACCTAAGTACAGATTTGGATATAACAAAAAATTTCAGTCAACCTTCGAAGAAAGTTAATTACTGGTAAAATTTAGTGCTCGGCTGCATTACCTCTGCTTTTAATTCAATCAATAAGTCGATATGCAATAAAAAATCTATAAAGTTTTTTTTATCCTCAGATGTCGGTTTAAATCTATAATAAATTGCTGAATGCAAATCAGAAAAGTATCAGAACACCTCGGGTCAGTAAAAATCACATAAATTTATGAAACATTTTCCCCCTCGCCTTCAGCGAAACATTTGAACTTTCTTTTAAAATAAAAAGTTAAGACCGACAAACTTATTGCAGAAATACAATCAAAACTTCAATTTTCTTCTTCAGTGATGATAAAAGGCGGCTTCATTTTTGATGTGTTAGAAATGGATAAAGCTTCCGGTAAAAAAATTGGATTCTTTAATCGCAGAAAAGTTCATTTAACTTTTTAAAGCAAAAAATTCAAACCGTTGAAAATACATTTGGTGATATGTTACAATAGATGGTAGTTTTGAGTATTATGGAAGTATTAAGTTTGAGAACTTTAAGGCCTAATATAGTCATTTCATTTTAAATCAATTGTACGTGCTTTTTATTGAAAAATTTAAGTTTTTCACTTTTTTTACAAAAAAAAAAATTTGGCTTCTGAAATAACTTATAAAAACTGTTCGAAGTATAACAAAAAGTGATCCAGCTATTTAACTTGAACCTGTATCATATTGTTAAATATTACCATACATTTTGTGTGTCTCTATGTTCTGTTCTCCCGTTATGTAATGAAATCCAACAGAACGTTCGCATTTCAGCGTGTAACAATCCACACAGTCTTGTGAAACCAAGTTTTTGAGGTTTCAGTGCAATAGTTATTTAAAACCTTAGTTACCCATAATTTTCTTAACCAAGAAGCAAAGCAGAGTTTTGCACTAGTTTTGATAAAACACAAAAATTTACGACAGCTAGCCAAACGAAACCAGACATAAGCCACTCGGTTAAAACAAAGCGGAAGGAAAATCTGGAAAAAAAATCAACATTTGTTGGCCTAGAGGGAAACATATGTCAATTCGAGTTAAAATGTCAAAATTTCGAACGCTGGAGATAATTTAGAATTAAATGGAAATTAAAAATCAAAAAGACAAAACTTAGTTACACGATTGCTGAGCCAAAAGTTGCATAGAAAATTTTAAGCGATAAAAGGTTTAGAAAAATCAATTTTTTACACCCTTCTCGAAGCGCAACGCATAAAAACAGTTATCCCCTTCAAATGACTCTGAGACAGAAATAAAAACAGGCCAAAAATGCACGAGAAGACCTTCTAAAAAACGGAAAAAGATGAAAAGTTGAACGAATTATACAAAACATAAGTACTAAATTTAAAAATTGAAAAAGTAATCCAGAAAGAACAACAATTATAGTACAACCTGCTCAGATCAAAAGAAATCGTAATCTTTTGGTATGTAAGACAATAAAACAAACTAACGCGACAGTCCAACAGACAATAGAGTTTTCCAACAAAAATTTTCATTTAAAAACAAGGATAGCCGGTTGCTGTGCAAGTAGCACAGGATATTCGGCCATATTCATAAAAACAGATTTTTCCTCAAATTAGTCTCATATGATTCGAGAAATATACGATCGCGTAGACTTAAAGTAAATTAGGCGTGATCGACACCGTTCGTCTCCAAAAATGAAGAATGAATGAAAGAAAAAACTAAATAAAAAATTTAAAATTTTCTAACATTTTGCACAATATTTTAATTTTTTAAAACTTTTTTTGCCAGACAAGCGCTAATTGAAACAACCAAACCTAGTATTTTTATAGTAAAATCTAGTTTCTTGTCCTCATTGTATTTCCATACAACTCACGTTACTCGCTCCAAATTAGACTAAACCTCAAAAATTTCAAACCAATTTTTCTCGACCTTGGGACAACTTTTTGAAATTGTTTTGTTTTAGAGCCATTTGAACCACGACTGAAAGGGCTCTAATATGATGTTTCACTCTAACCATTCCGATGATTATTTGTTGCACCTGACTTTGCGTGGAAAACAAGAAAAAAACTATAACGCACCCAAATATAAAATTCCTACCCATTTTCAATGATCAGAACAAAAACTACTCCCGTTTGAAATCGAATCAAGCATTTTTAGTGATATGTGTTGTGTCTATTCCATTGTCTTAATAGCAATCTTTTTCCTTTTTATGCAATTAAAAGTGCATAAAAACGATTATAAAGCACATTATAGCAATTTATGAATTTTTCAAACACCTTACAATGTTGGCTTCGAAACTATTTAACCAACTTGGAGACAAATTGTTTTCCTCATTAGATACAAAAATAGTTATTTGAGGGCTTATTTGCAAGCATTTATTGTGGAATTTGTAAATATTAGAAGTTTGTAAATATTGTAAATATTAGAAGCAGAGGTAAAAATATTCATTAAGAATTTTTCGCACTTGGAACTCATTACAATCATCGTGGAAACACAGCAAAAGAGAACTGCGTGTTTTATCCAGGCTCCGTAGGGTTCAACTTTTAAGTTACTTTCGCGAGCAAATTATTTAGGTCTCCGCACCTCCTTCGGAATGTCAGTGGTTCGATGTTAACTTATTTCATGCTCGTTGACAGAATGTGAGGCTAACAGATTTTTCCGAAGACGCTAATGTACACTTATTTCGAGGCGCAGGATAAGGCGCCGGAGGAAAACTCTATTTTTTGATATAATTAATTCTAATTTTGCTCAAAAACTCAAAAACAAATTTCCTCAAAATTAAATAATTTTATCATAACTTCGGTCAAAATTTAGTAAACAGAAGCAAAAGTGAGCTTCGCACCATTTGCGATTAAACAAAAACCTAAAAAAACTTTCAGTCGAAAAAATTAAAAAAAAACATTGAAAAACCTAGTTATACTAAAAATTAAACATTGTTGTGTCTCAATAGAAGTTCATTGTAGGCTAACAAGCCAGAAAAACGATTGTTACGTTAGCAACGGAACAAAACTTACAAGATGAAACTAAGCCGACAATTGAGCAAACACAAGTTCAGCAGATAAAACAAGCTTTCATAAAAAACCTTTACAGTTTTACAACCCACCTGAGACTAGAATAATCAACACTTGCACTTTCAACTACCAGGATGCGGAAGCAAAATAAGAAAAATTATAAATACAACTACAAGAAAAGAAAAATCTGTGATAAGGCACTTAAGCCGACAATCTTCGAGCAGACACCTGTTGAGTCTAAAAACAAATTGATTAAAACAAATTTAAAAAGGTTCAAGCCCAACTCCTTGAACCTACAAAGAATAACAATTGAAATGGATCAACGCCCGAAAACCGATCAAAATTAGCTAGAAGTAGGAGGAATTTTTTTTTCATTCGCGAACAGAAACAGAAAGTTATTTTACTCAGTTGAAATTTTATTTTGTTGAAACTATCCAAAAATGCAGAAACTCAACAAATGAATTAAGAAACTTAGCAAGACAGTGACTCAACTTGACTAACTTTGCAAAACGATGAACTCGTCGAGCAATTTTGATTAAAATTATCAAAAACATTGAATTTAATAATTTCTGATTAGCTGGAAATTCACGCTTGTTTGGTTCTCGTTTTTTAATTGAAATAGCTAGTTTTCAAAACCATATGGACTAAAAAGCGATGAGCACATATTTTCAATTGTTGAAGAAAAACTTCAGAAAATTAAACTATAAAAAAACTGCGAAAACTCATAAAAGCAATCACTTAAACCAGAAAAAAAACAGCTGATTAAACAATCAAAAACATTAGAAGTTTAAACCAATATTTTTGAGCAAACTGAAAGAAATGACAAAAAAATACAAAAACTGAAAACTTTTAAAGACAAATAATTTTTTTTTTGTTAAAGTTTATCACTTTTATTAAAAAGGGTTTGGGAAACTGATTTAGATTTCTCAAAATCACATCGTAAAACATCAACCATTCTCACAAAAAAAAACAAGAAGTAATTGAGAAATATCCTTAGAAAAATAAGCCGACGGAATTAAGCCCGTCACTCTTAAATGCTATTAAAGGAACTCATAACAGGCACACAAGGCACATGCCTAATATGCACCCACTACACTCACCTCTAGTGTGAAATCTGTACATTAACTTATTTACGGGAAAAAAGTCTAGTTCCCGATTGCAATACCTTTGTTTATCGGAAGGGCAATCAAAGAATTCACCAGCATGAAAGAGAGTAATTACTTTAAAACTGATTCAATTACAAGGCTAGTGTCAAGCAAAAAAGAAGCTTCTCATCGCGACTCACCTTTGAGGTACTTAAAATCATTTATCAGGCTATGCTTTTTATTATGAAATCGGTGGAAAATCAGTCGAGGAAGCGTTCTGCTGCGCAAATGCCTCAGTTCTATTGAATTTTTTTAAGCAGTGGCAGAACTGACTTCTGTGCCGTGGCAGAATTAATTTTCCGTTAAATATTTTTTCTACACGCAAAGCACCCGGCTATTTTATCGTATTTATTGAAGCCTATTGTAGCTTAATGAAGCATAGTTTCAGCTATGCTTCATTATAAATGTCATTCATTAGAATTATTCAGTAACTATCTTCCAGACTAGATAATCAAATCTGATACAAGATTCATAATCCTTTCCAAAAGTAATGTCTAGTTCAGACCCAAAGTGATAATTTTGTCCTGGAATTTTTAGGACGTTTGCTTTTCGTCTCAAGGAGCCTCTAAACTAGAGTTAAAATGAAAATTTAATTGCTTAACGCAAATTGCTCAAAATAGTGACAGTGAAATTTCTGTATTGAAATTTGTAATTAATTTAACTTAAAATTAAAAATAGGTAATTATTTTTTACTTCAAACTACAAATAGCTTCTTCGTAAACTAAAGAATCCTTATCTAAATTTTCGAACATTTTACACTGAAATTTCATGTTCGAAAAACTTTTCACTTCATCAAAATGTAAGTTTTAGTTGAAGTATTCTAGTTTTAGCTGTTGTGTAAAGTAGAAATCATAGGCATTAGACTGCAGCTTTTGCTATTTCACTTTTCTCCTCCGAACTTCCAGATGCTGATTGTCTGATCAAATTCTCAGCTTCCTCCCGACAAATTGGGCACATGTAGGAATTAGTTTTCAAAATATGGGCCAAATTAACAGTCGGAATTCGTTCGTCGCACTCTATGTGCCCCAGTAGAAAACACTTTCCGCATTGCAATGTAGAATTGATCAGTTTTTTACGATCATCATTGAAGGCTTTTAAACATAAAGCGCAGAAATGACCTTTTTTGAACTTATTCGAGCAGTCTACGCAATGAGTCTGTAAAAATCGCGGTCGCTTTGACCCTTCAAGTGGTCGGGTGAATTCCATTTTCCATTCAAACGACCACCTTGCGAGACACGAAGCACAATTACCGCATCTCGGACAAGCCCATCGACCAATCGGATTAAAGGAATCAAACCGATTTTCAGTTTTGTTCACAGAAACACATTCCGAATGATAAACGTTGTCGCAATTACAACATCGGAACACTTTTTCATTTTGGAAATGATAGTCAGCAAATTGGAATGATTCAATTTTTTGTTCACACATTTGACATTTTTTGCATTTGAAACAAGTCCAACTAATGCTTAAGAAATGGTTTCGGAGATCAGAAGGCAACTTTAAGCAGCTCAGATGGTAAGACCCTTTGCAGGTGAAACAAGCGATGAGAGATTCTGGCTTGGAGAACTTGTTGACTTCAGATGAGGAAAAACAGATGTAGCAAATGTCTTCTAACTGTGGATGACCAATTGTCACAAAAAAGGAACCTAAACAAAAAATAATAATTGGAATATATAATTTGGAGCGATGTGTCAAAAAAGTGCAAAAATCAGTCGACATGATAACTAGCGCTATCAAATTAAAAGGTTTAACAAAGAAAAGCTTTGTCAAACTTATCAGACAATATGAATAAAGACTTTTAACATTTTTTTCAGACCACATTCGTAACTGCAACATACTCCACAGAAAGCGCAATTTATAATGTAAAAAAAAACAATCATAAAAAAAAACAGCTAATTAACAACTGTCGGGCTCCAATTCGAGTCTCATTCGGGTTAACTAAGTTGAATGCCGAAGACCCAAAATATTTAGAAATTAAACTTTTACAACTTGCCTTGTTTCTGTGACCTTCGCTTCATCATTTCATTTTTCAACCCTACCACCTTCTCATTCGCAAAGTCAACACTTGAAATATCTTCCGATTTTACTTCCACTTCGTTGTGGTTTTCGTCTGACTCAATCACGCTGAAGTTCGGCTCGGTGTTCGTGTGAAAGTCGTCCAGAACAGCAGCTGCTTTGGAGACCTTGAAGAGAGGCAAGTACTGCAGTTCATCAGAAGAACGACTCGGATAGCTGCACTGGTAGTGATCAGTCGTAAGAGCAAGTGGAAAACCTAAGCAGATATGGTCAATAAAAAACTGACCAATGCGACGTGGATTGCTCGATTGCGATGACAATTAATGGAGCACCTAATATTAGCACTAGTAATACTCGGCAAACTTTGTAAAAAGGAGTTTTTTTTTCAGAAGTTACAGAAAAGCTGTTTTAAAAAGTTCATTTTGACTTCATAGCGTAAACGAAGGCCAAGAGAAAGCGAAAATCGATGAAGAAATCAAGACACCGCCAAAATTTGTATTTTTCGCAAATAAAGTCTTTTTGAAACTAGACACAGGTGAAGATTTGCGTAGAATACACCAGCAAAGAAGACCAAAAGGAGCTTTAAATTGTAAGAACTTACAAAAAATACGTCTGGAAAAAGAATGAGCTTTCAAAAATTCTAATATCCGACAACGGGATTGGAAAAACAGAACACCAGATATAAGTCATTTGTCTTCTCCGCTGATCCAGCTGCCTTGTTGTTCCATTTAGTTAACTCATCATCTAATACTAAAACCCGAACAGCACTGTAGGCGCCATAATGAAGCGGGTAAAACATATGCTTTTAAATCGCGCGTCGAATCTGAGCAGTATACAGATGAACTCAAAGTCTGTTCGTGCCAAGACAAAGCCCTAATGTTCTGACAACCCTGAATTAGTTTTTCGAGAAAAGAAAGAAAAGTATAAGTGTATAAAAACTATAACAGAAGCGTCTTCAATCCAGTGATATGGTCAGGAATTTTCCGCGCCAAAAGCAGTTATTTGAAGAAAAAAAAATGCGATGAACGCTTTTTGGATTTTTCCAAAAAATGCGCCATTTGGTGCGCGCTCCCGTCAGAATAAGTATATAATGGCACTTAAGGTGACTTACGAAAAAAGCTGTCAGCCAGAAATGGATAGCTGCCTTAAAATAGTACCAAAGGGTGGCCCTTTGGACAAATTTGACAACCAGAATTAAAGACGGGGGATGATACGAGACCACAAGACACCTGATTTTGAGTGGAAAACTTTAAAACTAGTTCCTTCTGACTTTTTCGCAAAAAAAAATTCCAAAACTGTAATTGCGAATACTAAATTAGCTTTTTGGAAATCAAAAACCAACGTTTATGTTCTGGAACTGAGAAATCGTTTCTCTTCTTTGATGCTGAAACTTTCAATACTTCTTTAGGTTTGTGTATGATCATCGTCTGTAAGTCCATGACTCCTTGTTCATGGTTGGCATGCCGAATTCTGTTGATTGATCGGTTGTGACCGTTTCTCAAAGTCAAGGCTGAGTTCCAATACAACTCTTCGTATGTGATATCAGTCAAGTTCTAGAATTATAACAAATTGAGTCAAACACGAAAGCTGACAAAACACAGATAAAAACGAGCAAAAAAATGATATCTTTCTAGGTTATTCTGAAAAAGATCTGAGCATTTTTTTCTTTCCTTTGCTTCATAAATCATATTAGAAACCAAGAGCATATCTAAGCTGATTTTCAAGAAATTTTAGACACTTTTTGGGCTTTTTTTCGGCACGCACTTCCCCTTTTATTAAGTATATGTTGGCGCCTGTACAAAAATTTGGTTACATGTCATTTCGCCCCCAAGTCAACTTGACTCAGCCCATCTTGTCCTACACCAACTTGCCCAATAAGACAACTTGTCCTATGTGATCTTGTCCCGTTAAAAAATAATTAAAACTTGCCCCAGATTCTTTGATATTCTCGTAACACATAGCGTCGGCATTACCCTGAAAGACATATTCGCTGAACAATTAAGCTTGAAACAAAATGCGGATTCATTCAATCACTTGCGGAATCGAAATGAACTCAAAGCATGCATGAACAAACTGAACGCCGCAAAATTTCAACGCAATTTTCGTGTCGAGTTAAACATATCAAAAAATTGATTGCGGATTTCAGTATACTCAACAGAAATCAGTATACTCCGTTGGAATTACAAAATGTCTGTCTTGGATAATTGGGATAGATGGAGCCAGATTCTGTTTAAGTCGGCTGAGAGTTCTGTTTATTGGTGCTCGACTGGGCAAGGACAACTGAACTGCTTTTTTGTCGGATGCTTCTTGGAGGCAAGTGGAACTTATTCTGCTATTAACAGGTACCATTTGCTGCAATGCCTCTTTTCTCATTAGATGAATGATCTGGTTTGTTTCATTTTTCCAGGTCTAACACCGCAGCCGTGTTCGTTTATGGCAGATACCAGTTCATCTCCAGCTATTACAGTGAGCATTGGCATTTTTGGGAACTGTGAATCGCTCATCTCCAGTGTTCAGTTGTTTTTGCTGTTTGCTTTTTTGTGAAGTTGTGTCCGTCAAAAATCAGCGTTCGTTTGTTTCGTTGAGCTATTCCCCACATAATTTGACTCATAAAAATTAAGTTGTATATTTGCAGAGAATTGCGTCAATTAAATAAAGACGCAAAATAATATTATTAGTGTTTTGTTCTGTTTCAATAGCGTTAATTGCTGAATATTGTCAAAACATTTGCGTTTGATTGACAAAAATTATGGCTTAGGTGATATTCCAGGCTCAACTTAAACAATTTTGAGTTAGTTTCCCTTCTTATCTCAAAAAAAGTTAAATTTAACATTAGCACTTGCTGTTCCTTAACAATACTCGATTTCAACATCAAATAATTAACTAGAAGTGTTAATTGTTGGAGAAAACGGCATAGGAAAAGTTGTCAAATGGGGCAACTTGGCAGATGACAAGTTTTCATGTGGGGCAAACTAGTTTACGGCAAGTTGGCAAATGGCCAGTTGTTCTGGGGCAAAAAGTGCTGACGCCAAAAATTTTAAGGTTGATTGACGACTAAAAGAAATGTAAAATAGTAACAAAGGGTGCCCTTTAAGTCATCAATGCCCATCAATTTTTGCTTCTGTTGAATCAAAATAGAAAGATGTCTCTTTGAAATGTGAAACAACCGAATGTTCATACTCTAAATCGAAAAAAAAACAATTGGCGAACCGAAATTTCAGAAATATCTGATTTTGCATTTTTAGTCTTCGCAGAATCTTCCAGGTACATTTGGACTCTTCTCCTCTTAGTTTCAGGCAGCCAGTACTTCTTGTAGGCGATGAAATGTCTGGGGAAGTAACACTGCATGATGTACACTGCATCGTCCGCATCTACTGCAGAGAGGGAGGCTTGAAGACCGAGGCCTTCGAAATCGTCAACTGGCTTCACGATTCCCTCTTTGAGAAGGAATTCACGTTCCTTGCATCTGATTGGTCGACAAAACACTGTGTCACTGAACCGTCGGTGGAAAAGAGGACAATCTGTAAATCTTGTCACAGAATTAGAAAAATATTTCCAACCTCCTCGGGGATCAAATCAGATGTAAATACTCTACAGTCTACGTTACTATAATGATTTTTCAAAAGCATGAGTTCAAACAAAATTGAAATTGGCTGAAAAAAAAAATTTCCGAATTAGGTAGAGGTCAGTGTTATCGCTATTAAACTGTTTATTTTTCCAATTAGCCAAACAAAATTGAACTAAACAGTAGCAAAAAAAGCACATAAAGAATGTTTAACTTATGGCCTGAACTATTTAATTTAGCTTCACGTGTGCTTCTAATATATATAACCTAACCCAAGAACGCGGCCAGATGTTCCTGTACAAAATAGTCTTTAGCCAGAGGAGACCCGAGTGGCCATCTGTAGTCGACCAGAACAGAAGCAGCCATTGGGTCTATTGGCTTCAAGGGAATCCCCTGTCCAAAGTTGGTAGTGTCTTCTTCATCTTCCTTTTTGTCATCGAAGAGTACCTTTCTCTTTTGCGAAGGGTAGCTGAGCGCTGTTTTTGACGAAATTGGATGATCGTCTGGCCTTACATAGTTGAATGACCAGTTGAACATTTTAAATCAAGTTGCAGCTTAAACTATGTTAAACTGAAATTCTCAACAAAATTCAGCATAGGCGAAGCAGAGCTTTGTTTATTTTTCAATAAATGTTAATGAGTTTTCAAACAGTCGAAAATAATTCATGATAAAATTTTTTATTTCAATGAATTCGTATAGAAATTTGAGCTGAAAACATTCGCAACTTTAAAAAGTGCTCAATTTTTTGGCGACAATAACACAAACAGTCCACTTAGAGTCCGATCAATGCCCTCTGTCGGAATTACAAATCCTTCATCTGCAGTTTTTCCCGGCTGATTCAATTGCATATTACTCTCAATTAACCCACTCCACTCATATGTGCACATTCTTCGACTTTTCCCGTGAAATCCGAGCAATAATTTCGTACTTCCTTCACAAACATGTTTCGGTCCTTCATGTGAAAACTTTAAAACTTGTTCAGCATTCTCATTTTCTGTTTGCTGATCTTCGCTTGACATGAAACCGACAATTAACACCCAGTGAGCTTTAGTTCCATTAAGAAGTCCAATTTTCATGTTTCCACCAAGGTCATAAGGTACCAGAAGAGAGCAACCTTGCTCGAACCAAATCTGCAAATTAGACCAAGTTAAAAGTGTTTTTGTTTGAAGACACGAAGCTGGAAACTGACAATGGAGTTTTGGATTGTTCGCAACATCGCAGATCCACGAAGCGGAAAACATTTCCCCGAATTGAGTGAATTTCATCTCTCGACTGGCTTCTAAGAGAATATCAACGTGGATTTTGGTTGCGATCGACAATGCCACTAAACCACATTTGGGCCCATCCTAAATCAGCAATTAGTGGTTACCAAAACAAAACAGCCAACAGACAGTTGGAAAAGAGTCAATGAACGCAAGTAAACAGAAAAAAAATGTTGTTTTTGGAAAAAATTTCTACTTGCCAATTTCAAAGAAAAAAAATAGTTGCCATAAAGGAAATTCAAGAATAAATTATGATAGGCACTTTTAACAAAGGAAATGAACTGAACTGGGAAGAAATCAATAATCAAACCGCAAAAATTGAGCCGGAATAAATTTTAAGACCGACTTTTCCTGAAAAAAAAAACCATCGCGACCTATATTAGAGTCTGAACTACGTTCATCGACTCTTAACAAAGGTAGCCACATCCTGCACAGGTGCCGCGAATTGTTCCCGCCGCATTTTTTGCTCCGACTATTGAAAATAGGGAAGAAATTAGTATTCGGATGTGTAGTAGTTTTTTTTGTTCCGACCATTTAAAAATGGGGAGGAACTTTATATTTGGGTGTTTTAGTTTTTTTTTGTTTTCCACGCAAAATCTGGTACCAAAAAAAATTATCGCAATGGGTGGAGTGATATATCATATTAAAGCCCTTTTAGTTGGGAGTCGAACGAAATAAGAAAATTTCAAAAACATTTTCAGTGTCGAGAAAAACCGGTTTGAAATTTTTGATTTTTGGTCCAACTTCGATTTAATATGGCGTGAGCGTATAGACTTACAATAGAGAGTAAGGCTAGTTTTGAAACAAAAACATGCAGAGACAATAGAACGTGAAATTAGCATTGGAAGATAATTTACCAAGCGGTAACAAATACCTTGGCAGAAAACTTTTAAGCCGATTAACAATTAACAAGATTTAGGACGTATGAAAAGTCCCCGTCCGTAACCCTCAAAACACATTATTTGCTCACCAAATGAAACAATATAAGACCACTAAGCGAATAAAATATAACCAGAAACCTAAGAAGACGGAAAAAAAAACGAAAAAAAAAAATGAAAAAGTTAAGACCAATAAGATGTTATTAAGCCCCCGTCGCCCTCAAAATACAGACACGCACACGTACACTATTTTCGGTTGTCGGAGAACGCATTATGAGGCCGATATAATATCGGCCGAAACCTATCAAGCCGAAAAGAAGAAACAAAAACAAAAAGGCGATGAAAAAATTGAATTATAATTTCTATAAAGATGATTAGCATTTTGTTCGCATTTTCAACTGCTAATTTATTGGAGTAACACTAATAAGAAAGCACAGTGAGAGTAAAAAACCATTGAGCGCAAATCTACAAGTACTGCATGCATCTAGTGTACTGCAAGCATGCTGAAATCTGTGGACAAAGTTGTTTACGGGAAAAAAGTCTAGTACCCGGTATTTTCAAATTAGTGTACTGCATGCATGCTGAAATCTGCGGACGAAATTTTTAACGGAAAAAAATCTAGTACCCAGTTAGGGTCACACCACGCGGAAAAAAACGAGACTTATTTGATCAAAAAAATGTTAGTATTTTTCTAAGACCATTTATCTTTGTTTGTTTTTAAATAATCATCGGACTAGGTTGAGTGATCTATCATACTAAAGCCCTTTCAGTCGTGATTCGAACCACATTAAAACATTTCCAAAAATTTTCCCAGTTTCTAGAAAAATCGGTTTGAAATTTTTGAGTTCTTAATTCGAGCGTATAAAGCAAGCGAGCAGGCTTACAACAGCTGAAGAAGTATGCCTTATTTAAGACCTTAAAACTCAATCTTTAGCAAGTAAAACTAGTTTTTGGAGTTTCTTAGCTTCATTTTCGAACCAAACACTTCAAAAAAATTTTTTTTTATGTTTTCAAGTTTATCTAGTCAATTTTTGCAAACATTTCTGTCCAATTAGCCTATATTACCATGACTGTCCAATATGCCTAAATGATATTTCTATGTCAGATCCTTTTATCGCACAAAGCAGAAAAAAATTACACTAACTTGAAAAAAAAACTTTCTGAACCGTAGTTTTCTAAAGACTATGGTCCGAAAACTCTGTGCTACTTGCAACGTAAACCGGCTATACTTGTTTTGTTTTTAGTCACTTGACATGATAGACCAGCAGATTAGAGATGCATTTAAATAGATAACTTAGCCATTACTACCTTATTTCCTAGACACAACAACATACAGGGGCGGATTTAGAGGGGGGGCGGACTGCCTCCCTCAGGGATTCGACCCCCTGCCGACCCAAAGGGTCCCCCCTTTGATACTTTTTAAGAAATCCATTTTTGGCCGACCGACCCTAAAATTTTTCTAAAGGCCCCTTTGGCGCCAATATATACTAACTTTGAAGGGGAGCGCGTGCCAAAAAAACGCGATTTTTTTGTCAAAATTTTTCAAAAAGTGCCTAAAAACGTTTTTTTTGACTGTTTTTTTAAAAATTTTCCTGCGGCGCTGAAAATTTAGCCCAAAATAGGGTAAAAACAGTGCTTTGGGAGAGCTCAAAAATCAATTTGGTCGACCTAAAAAAAAAGTTTTCAAAATTTTTTGAAAATCCGCCCCCTCGTGAAAATCCTAGATCCCCCTTGACAACAAATATACGATGAAAAACAGAAAGAACAAATAGGCCTTAGAAACAAAAAAAACATAGGAAACAAAAAAAAGCTCTAAGCTAAATTTACGCAACTCCGTTACTTTTTGACGACCAAAACAGCTTTAATATGATACCATACTTGAACCCATCTGAAGTTTCCTTATATTTTACTAAGCGCTCATTGCTGGTTGAATGCTTAGTAATTTTATCCTAAGTTATAAGTCTCACCTTAAATCGTCAAATTGTCTTGACAAAAAGTAGAGTAGAAACAACAGTTAGAAAAGGTATGAATTAATTAGTTGGTTAAATACAGAGCACTGGGTAATTAGATTATATAAGCGAATCGAACAGCTTAAAGAAATATACCTATGAGGGGAGGTTGCGTTAATCTTATTTTGTGCATCAATATTTTATCTTCTTACTAAGGTCGATGACTCAGTAGTATTTCTTGGGTTGCCTTGATGTTGTCCACTTGGCACTTCTGGTTTGGTTGTCAGTTTCGTCTTGCCGTAGTCCTTTGGGTACTCGTAGTCCAGACTTTCTCAGATGGGGTTATCTCGAGTATCTCGTTTTTATAATTTTATCGAACTTGAAATGAGAATTTATTCTCTGTTTTATTTGTGAAAAAAGACTAGTTTAATTTTACTGTAAATGCAGAAAAGGAAAATTATTTATTTTTTTAAAAGGTCTAACTGAAGATATCTAACTTGCTGCTAACTGAGCAAAATGAAACACTGAAGATTTCAGGCCAGTCCTTTTGCTCGTAAGCATAAACCGGCGGCTGATTCAATCTTTACTTATTCAGGTTTCACCTGCTTCTTTGTTCTCCCTTTCTTATAAGGGAATTTTCAACTAGTTTTTATTTGATTTTTTCAAATCAAATATCTTTAACTTATTAGTCCTCTTTGATAAAAACCGCAGCCTTCAGTTTGTCTGATTAAAATTTCATATTATTCTCTCTGATGCATCATATTGCAGGTACATCTCTGCTTAATCAAAGCAAGGAGAATTTCAGTGCAGCCCGCAAGACTGCTAAATATTTATCCAGTTTGTTTCAAGTTAAGTTAAAAGAGACGTATTAATAATCGCCGTCCTTTTAAAATATTGAGCATGAAAAAATGAGAAAAGTTGGACAAGTATTTAAAAAGGAGTGGATTTTCAAAACAAGATTTTATAGTCCTAATAAGAGTAAACCAGTCAATATCTGATTTAGTGAAAAGAGGCTTTATTTTAAATGGCACGCTCCAATTTAGAATTGGGTCGTTAAACAAACAATTAAGACAATGGTCGTTTGTCTGTGTAGTATTTCTCAATACTACAACTCACCCCTTTTTTTAGAAAATTAAGTTGTTCGATTCTTAAAGTTACCATGGTGAAAATTTAAACACTTTAATGGTTAAATACTATAGTTATAAAATTTTAAAAAGAACATCAAATGAAAAAGTTATAAAGATAAGTTAGGTTTTATCTAGAGCTTCCTTCCTGCTTCTAGCTCCACGTTGTATGATCTGAGGATCGCTATCTTCCTCTGTGAAGCCTCGAGTTTTTGTTGCAACTTCACGATTTTCTTCTTTTTGATTTTGTTCTTGATTCGTAGTAAGCTCATTCCATCCGTAAGTTCTTGAATGTCGTCCTGTTCTTCCTGTCTGTTTTTTACATGGTTCGGAAAAGCAGTTATTCCCTCAAACGGGATGGTGACTTGCGTGCCTCCTGCCTTGAGGATATAGCCGTGTTCGTCCCTCTTCTT